AGTGCGTGTTTAGAGTTGGATCAGGTAAGTTTTTAGGGTATCTGGTAACGAGAAAGGGCATTGAGGCCAGCCCAGACCAAATCAAGGCCATCCTAGAGCTGCAGAGCCCGATGTCGGCAAAACAGGTTCAGATGCTTACTGGAAGGGCCGCAGCCCTAAACAGATTCATCAGCAGAAGCTCAGATAAATGTAGACCCTTCTTCAACTTGGTGAAAAAAGCCACAGACTTTCTGTGGACAAAAGAATGCGAAGCCGCTTTAACCGACCTAAAGAAATACTTGACCACAACTCCGGTTCTTTCTAATCTAGAACCAGGGGAAGAACTGTTTTTGTACTTGGCAGTTTCAGAACACGCAGTCAGTGTAGTACTAATCCGAGAAGAAAAAGAGGAGCAAAAGGCTGTTTATTATGTAAGTAAAACCTTGGCCGATACAGAAACAAGGTATCTACCACTGGAGAAATTAATGCTAGCCTTTCAAAAAAGTTGAACCATTACTTTCAGGCGCACAAGATTGTGGTCTTAACAGAGCATCCATTGAAGTTCTTATTACAGCAAGGAGACTTAACAGGAAGGATAGCAAGATGGGCCGTAGCCCTAGGTCAGTATGATCTGGAGTTCAGGCCGAGAACAGCGATTAAAGGCCAAGTTTTGGCCGACTTCGTGGCAGAATTCACCCCCGAAACCACCGAACATCGGGCTCCGTTGAGCCAGGATGAGCATTGTCCCAGCAAGTAAGGAGAATCTCAGCCAAAGACCAAAGGGCAAAGGAAGGAAAAACTCAGACTCTGCAGCATCTACATCAGCGACTCATTCAGACTGTTTGTCGATGGAAGTTCAAACCGACAAGGAGCAGGGGCAGGAGTACTGCTGATATCACCAGATGGAGAAATAATAGAACAGTCCATCCGTTTGGGGTTCAAGGCCTCAAACAATGAAGCGGAATACGAAGCATTAATTGTAGGGCTAAAACTGGCAGCAGCAGCAGAAGCAGATGAGGTAATAGTTTTTTGTAATTCACAACTTATTGTTAACCAGTCAATAGGTGAATTTGCAGCCAGGGACGAAAGGATGTCGGAATATGCAAAAAAAGTCATCAGATTGGCAGCCCTATTTCAGAACTGCCGACTACTCCAAGTTAGCCGAGATGACAACACCCACGCCGACGCATTGGCTAACCTGGCAAGTTCAATGCAAACTGGAAAAACAAGGACAATTATGGTCGACTATATGTCGGGCCCGAGCATAGAACCACGGAGCACATGACAGGAAGCAATGTGTGTGGACATGGGGCTAAGCTGGATGGATGCAATTGTTGCATTCCTGAAAGAAGGAAAGCTGCCAGAAGATCGAAATGAGACACACAAAGCCAGACTAAAATCGGCAAGATTCTGTCTGACAGAAGATGGACACCTCTACAGAAGGTCCTTCACTGGACCACTTTTAAGGTGCGTACACCCTTTGCAGGTTGAAGATTTCCTGTATGAGATTTATGAAGGAATTTGTGGAAACCATGCTGGGGGCAGATCATTAGCCCACAGGGCCATTACCCAGGGGTATTGGTGGCCCTACATGCAGAAGGATGCTGTAGCCTACGTAAAGAAGTGTGAACAATGCCAAAAGTTTGCACCTTTGATACATCAGCCAGCCGCTGACCTAAACCCAGTGTCCAGCCCTTGGCCGTTTGCCCAATGGGGCATGGATCTGGTTAGGAAACTTCCCCAGGCAACTGGGCAGAGAAAATACTTGCTGGTGGCAACAGATTACTTTACAAAATGGATAGAGGCAGAACCTCTTGCCAAAATCTGAGATGTGGACGTCAAGAACTTTATATGGAGAAACATCATCACTAGATTTGGGATTCCAAGAGCAATAGTTGTCGACAACGGAACACAGTTTGACAGCAAACTCATCAAGAACTTTTGTGCGAAATTCAAGATCAAAAATTACTTCTCAACACCAAGTTTTCCCCAAACTAATGGGCAAGCAGAAGCATCTAACAAAGTAATTTTGGATGGAATAAAGAAGAGGCTGCAGGCAGCAAAAGGAAAGTGGGTAGACGAATTACCCAACGTACTTTGGGCATATCGGACTACGCCGAGAAGGTCAACAGGGGAATCCCCCTTTGCCATGGCTTATGGCACAGAAGTTGTCATCCTATTGGAGATCGGCATCCCAGGGATTAGGACCCAGGGAGTAGAGAATGGCACCAACGACATACTCTTAGCCCGAGATCTGGATCTTTTGGAAGAACGAAGAGAAAAAGCTACAATTCAGCTCGTAGTATACCAGCAACAGCTTGCCAGAGCTTACAACAAGAAGGTCAATCCAAGAGATTTTCAAGTCGGCGACCTAGTCCTTAGAAAAGTCATCGGCAACAAGAAGGATTCTAGAGAGGGCAAACTTGGCCCAAACTGGGAAGGACCGTACAGAATTACTTCGGTATTAGGCAATGGAGCTTATCGGCTTGAAGATAACGAGGGCAAAACATTGCAAAGACCTTGGAACACTTGTAATTTGAAATTCTTCTATCATTAGATGTGCACTATTTTTTGGCCGATGTCATCAATAAAATCTTTTCCCTTTTCTTTAAAACACATATGATGAATAAGTTACATATTGGTATTTTTGGAAGACATGAATAATGAGAACCCAAAGTAGAACTCAGGTTCACATTGGGGGCAGAGAGAAGACAGATTATTCCCTAATTCACTTGTTGAAATTTGTAGCAATTTATAAGTCGAAGTTAAGCCGAGATTATTCCTTAATTCACTTGTTGAAATTTGTAGTAATTTACAAGTTGGAATTAAGCTGATTCCTTATCTTCACTTGTTGAAATTTGTAGCAATTTACAAGTTGAAATTCCCATTTTCCAGAGAAAATGAAGTAGTCATCTCCAGCCCCCTTATTGGAGTCTGGGAGGTCGGCTACGATTTTGAATTCAGTAGACCTCGGCTTGAGGTAGTAGACGTAACCTTTTCCTTCAGGCTAAGGGGGCACATGGTGTAACAATATTGTATGTCGGCTAGGGTGATTCTAACGTTTTCTTGTCTGGCTAAGGCGATGATACCAAAAATCACTCGATAGGAGTTTATAGCAAGTTGCATAGGGTTCAGCTTATAATAATGCAAAATCTCGCGAAAAAGAATGTTAAGTGGAAGTCGAAGTCCACATTCAGTAAATGCTACAATAGGGAGAGGCATGGTGTTTTCGGTAGGCATGATGGAGTCATCATCCCCAGCCAGTTTCAGGTGAACATCGGCAAGGACGGAGAACTCCCACCTAAAGTACTCAAGTTTGGACGGGGTATCAACCCTATGTCTCCACATACCCATAACGTCGGCCTAAAGACAGAAAGTTAGGATTCAGAAAGAAGGTGTTCTTAAAAGGTTATTGGAACCTCGGCAAAAACCTAGGAGAGTATTGGTACAGCTTGTTTCAGTTTTCCCTAAATTAAAGGTTCTACAAACAAATCCCAAGCCTAAGAACTATGAAGATGAAGATCAAAGGCACAGATCTGGAAAGGAAAAACAGAAAACAAGAAACAAATAATGACGTTTCAGAGACGAAGAACAGAGGTATGGTTCTCAAAAGCGAAAGAAATACAAAAGTAAAAGGTCAAGAACAGTGGCAAGAAAAGTATTAAAACAGTGCAAGTGTTCAAGATATGAGTAAAATCATGGAATAGACGCATCCAGATGAATAGTTCAGCAAATCAAAGGTTTGAACAGCGCAATAATGGCAGTAAGTAAACGAAAGCACATAAAAGAAATTGGGAATAAGAGGAACAGAGGCTTACCAGAACAAATGAAGCCGGGATGAAAGGCGCCGAAGTAAGGCAACGGTTGCAGACAAGACGGGACGACGAAAGCTTCGCTGGAATGGAAGAATAAAGACGGTTGCAGAGCTTGGAGCTAGAGCAATGGCGGGTTTGAGAAAGTTTAGAGAGAGAGAGAGTCAGAAAATCGAAATGCAAAAGTAAAGAAATAAAGATGGAAAGAAAAGTTTTGTAAAAAACTTGAAACGGCGGCAAAAGCAGGACATTTATTACGCCTGGAGCAACGCACATGTCAGACGGCGCAGATGGGTGATATACAGCTTTCAGGCGCGCCACAGACACGGGCCAATGAGGATAAAGCACGTGAGGGGAACGATTGAGAAAAGGTGCATGACAGCTCATGCGCGTGGAGGAGTTCGTTTGAGTTCTTGTTCTTTGATGAAGGCATGTCGGCCTAAAATGAATGATCTCGGCCAAAAAAGTTCTTACGCCGAGGTACTAGAAGAAAATTCAGATATAGGTTCCATCACCTCAGAATACCGAGGTAATAGAATCTAGGGGGCAGTTGTGGGGATGTATTTTCTGAAATACCAACACGTGGCATGGTGACGCCGACGTGTCAGCCGAGATGCCACGTGTCCTGATAGTTATGCCGAGGTTACCTAGGCAAGGCTGAGGTGATCTCTGAAGATATCGGAATCCGAGATAAGCGGATAAGGGACAAGAGTCCTAGATAAAAGAGAAGACTTTTTGCTAAGATAAGGATAAAACTCTTAGGGAGTTTATCTTTATCTCTTGAGGAATCCAAAGTAAGTACTAAATTGGAGTCCATAGGAGTCAGGCTTCTAGTAGGACTTGGATTAAGTAAACTATAAAAGAGAGGCACCCCGTGAATCTAAGGTACACAGTTTTATACTCAAGCTTGTGAGTTTAGCACTTGATTATCTTTGAGAGATATACTGACTTGATCATCGGAGTGCCCCCGGGTGGAAGAGCCACCGCCGGAGCCTTTTCCTTCTGTTGCAAGTTCACTGAAGCCATCTATTCTGCCGGTGCTTTCTAGCTGATTATTAGGCGGGTAGTGTGGTCAGAAAATTACCCACACAATTTTAATAAAAAATTCTATTCACATATTTACAACAAATTTAAATGTAAGTTATTTGTTTTGTTCATATATAAATTTTCAAATAAAAGACAAATGTTCACATAAATTGATCAGCCAAAAATAAATGGTTCAAATATAGATGGAGTAAGAATTGCTGCTTGTTACCCTATTAGAGGTTCGAGAGGGAGGGAGAGAGAGAGAGAGAGGATGAGCATGAGGATTAAGAGTTTGTTACAACCAGTCTACAAAAGAAGTTACGGAGCTCCTCAATCACCTTTGTCCTCAATCACGAGCTCCTCTCTCTCAACCCACCAACAAACCTAAACCCTCACTCTCCCTTTTCTTCTTCTTCTTCTAGTTGTTACTGTAACCATCACCCTTTCCATGTGGGTTTTTCTATTCCTTCAAAACCCACCACCACTACTACTACTACGCCTCAAGATATTGATGATCAAAATCAGGAAACCTTACTTGACTGTAAGTTCATTTCTTTCCTGTTATTGTCGCCGATTAATTATTCTTGCGTGTTTAATTTTATGCATTTCTGTGTATATATACATATATACACTGTTCAAGAACCGTGGATTGAGTTTGTTTTGATTGATTAATATTTTCTGGTTTTCTCTCCCTACGGTATGTCGTCCAAGTGTTTGATTAAAGTCCTAGTAACCCAGTTTTTGGGAAAGCATATTTTTCGATATTGCTTTTGACACAAAATTGTTGTTGTTGTTTATTTTTTTCCCTCTCTCCCCGCTTTGGGAAGCAAATGCTGTCCGAAGGGAGCCTGTACTCTAGCGGTCTGTTTGGATGGTGGGAGAAAAGAAAATAAATGATTCTGGTGTCATCTATTTTGAGAAAAGAAAATTCATCTAGGTGAGAATACAAAAGAAATGTTTCACTATCATCTTTGGACGTGTAGGAAAACAAAGTATGTAATTATTAATATAAGTGCATGGGTGATTTTTTTATACTTTTTTTTTATTTAGTAAATTTTAATAGACAATCTTGGTATTATAAAAAGTACAGAACCAATAAATTCATATTCCACCAATTTTCACCTTTTGGTGAGAAATGAAACCTATTAACTATTTCTCATAATTTCTTACCTAACTTGTAAACCAAACATGAGAAAAGAGTTATCTTTTTCTTCATTTCTCACCAAATCACTCAATCCAAACAAGTTCTCTTTTCATGTGCATGTTGATGGCAAAAAAACCCATTGGGAAGTTGTATGGGTTAATAGCTGGTGCGTAAGATTGGCTCAATCTTTTACTTCCAACTTTAGTATTATTTTAGTTACACCCATACAAACTTACCAAACCAACTCCCCCAAGCTTCAAATGCTCATCTTCACGAGAAAAATTGTTGCCTCCCATACTTTTGTGAAAGATAGATGTATATACTAGTAAGGATTCTGGCCAATTGAGCTAGTAGTACCAACTGATTGGCTTGTTACATTTTAATGAACAATGAAAACATATCTTGAAATCCATAAATGGTTGTGAAAAGAAACGAATGCTTACGGAGATACATTTTCTCAAGTCTGTATGTTATGTTTGCCCTTAATTTACGTTTTCAGGGGCTTGGAGTAGAGTAAGGAGGCGAATTCGTCCTTCTTTCTCTATTTCTAAGATCACCTTGAAATCGTCTAAAGGTTCTAAGATCACCTTGAAATCATCTAAAGGGCACCACAGTGAAATATTGAAATGTAAGATCTCTTTCCATCCTCAATCGGCTTAATCAGTGTCTCCTAAAAAAACAAGAAGTGCTATATTGGCAACTAGAAATAGTTTTGATTTGTTAACTGGCTTATTACTTTCATTGGTAATATCAAGATTGTTAAAATTGGGATCTTACATAGGTTCGGTGAGAGGGTCTCGTGGATAGGATTGAGGATCGTAAGATTCTAATTTCTAATAAAAATAAGGTAAAAATACAAATCAGGATGATACATGTTAAAAATAAGGTGAAAAATGATAATCCAACAATCCTACGATCCCATATGATCGTACTTGTGATCCTACTATAATATCAATCATGCAATGATTTGGATGGTTTTGACAATTTAGGACCATAGGATTGTACTATCCTACGATCTGGATCACAATTTTGATAACCATGGGTAATATCAGAGTTAGAAAGAAAAGTGAATTACTCATCTTCAAGCATTGATTTAGCTATTTTCTTGGATGATAGTAGTTCTTTCAATATTGATTTTGTTAGTGATGGCTTGTGTACTGTTAAAAATAAAATTAATTTGTAATATAAACTGTCAAGTTGCAATCACAAGTTGCCAAGTTGTTATCTCAAGTTCATGTATGTGTGAGATTTTGGAAGATCGTTGTTAGCAACTTGTAAATACTTGGCTTATTTCTATTGGTTGAAAGGGTTGACAACAATGCCCATATAAAGGCATGTTATTTCACTTGTAAAACACAACAACAACAAACAGAGCAATAAGAATACAAAGCAGAGCTCTTGCTTTCTCTCTCCTTATCTCTCGACGCTTTCTCTAAATTTATCTCTAGGTTTTTTTAATTTCTCTCTCTAGAATTTTGGTCCAATGAAAATTTATATTTACACTGTGCACCCAACATATTTTTGGTATCAGAGCCAAACCCTTTTTTTTTGGTTCATACTATTTACTCTAAACCTTGTCTATGTACCTTAACTATACTTCATATCAAATACCCCTATTTGATGGGAAAAATTATGGTTATTGGAGTATTCAAATAAAGGCCCTCTTTATTTCTCAAGATCAATGGGTGATAGTGGGTGAAGGTTTCCTTGTTCCAGCCTCCAGGAGATCAGGAAACATTAGCATCATGGACACAAGGCAAACAAAAGGAGTACAAAGAGAATAAGAAAAAAAGATGCAAATGCGTCACTCAACATACAATAGGGGGTAAGCAAATCAATTTTTCCTAGAATAATTGGTGCAAAATATTCTAGAAATGTTTGGAAAATTTTAAAACAGGAATTCCAAGGTTCTGAAGAAGTTATCTCCAATAAATTTCAGTCTTTGTGGTGTGATTTTGATAATCTAGCCATGAAAGAAAATGAGGCCGTCCAATCTTTTTCCAAATGAGTTGCATAAATTGTAAAACAAATTAGAAGTTATGGAGATACTATCCAAGAGAGAAAAATTGTTGAAAAAATATTAAGAAGTTTGCTACAAAAATTTGAACATGTTGTTCCTGCGATTAAGGAATCAAAAGAATTGTCTCAATTCGCTTTTCATGAGCTTATGGGTTCTCTTGAAGCCCATGAAAAAAGAATAGCTAGATTCACCGGACCAAGTGCAGGAGCAAATATTGAACAAGCTTTCTAATCAAAGCCCAATATCACAGAAATAAGACTTCCAAAAAACAAAAGTCGTGGAATAGCTCAACCACAACAATGAACGGGACATAAGAATTTTGATAACCATAACCGAGGAAGAGGGAGAAGAAATTTCCACCAAGAAACAAATCGAGCTGGTAACACAAAATTTGGCTCTAGCTGTCATGTGTGTAGTAAATCTAATCATCAATCTAAGGGCTGTAATTTTAGACGCACCAAGTGCAAAACCATTCACAGGACTACTAGTATCAGAAAAAAGAAGAAAAAAAGTGAAGCAAAATTTTCAAATGACCCAGCTCAAGTGCTCTTCTCTTGCATGAGCACACAACATGATGCACTCAATACATGGTACTTGGACAGTGGATGTTGCAACAACATGATAGGGAACCGGAAGTGCGTTGTCCAAATGGACAACCAAATCTCCTCCAAGTCAAATTGGGAGACGGAAAGCAAAAACCAGTCTCAAAGGCAAATAAACTAGTATGGTACAAACCAAGGGAGGTAAAACAAAACTCATTGATGATGTTTTATATGTCCTTGATTTGGCTCAAAATTGACCGAGTGTTATTGGTCAATTGATTCAAAAATGATACCTAGTAAATTTTATTGGAGATGAGCGCAAAATAAAAGACAAACAAGATTCACTAGTGGCAATTGTCAAAATGGCACCAAACAAATTGTTTCCACTTACAATGCCACTAGGTGAAAATTTTGCGTTGAAAGTTGACAAAATCAATAATTCCATACTATGGCATTTTAGATATGGTCATTTAAACTACAAAGGATTGGAACAATTGATACAAAAAGGCATGGTAATTGGGCTTCCAAAGATTGAACAAAATGACAAAACATGTGAATGATGCATATTTAGAAAAATGCACCGATTACCTTTTCCTAAGATTGCTTGGTGAGCAAAAGTTTCACTTGTCTAATACCAAAAATATGTTGGGTGCAAAGTGTAAATATGAATCTTAGTGGGACCAAATATTCTAGAGAGGGAAATTTAGAGAGAGAGAGAGTGCTTTGCTTTGCTTTGTATTGCTATTACTCTGTTGTTTGTGTGTTTTACAAGTGAAAGAATATGCTTTTATATAGGCATTGTTGCCACCCCTTTCAACCAATAAAAATAAGCCAAGTATCTACAAGTTGCTAACAAAGATCTTTCAAAATCTCACACATAAATGAACTTGAGATGTCAACTTGGCAATTTGTATTACAAATTAATTTTATTTTTAAAAGTATGCAAGTCATCATGCTTTCATTTCATCAAAGTGCACGTCCCTTGAAGTCACCAATTTGTTGGTTTTTGGATCAAAAAGTCAATAACCTTTTAATTCGTCGCAATAGACGATGAAGATTAATTTTTCTCTCTTTTGGTCAAATTTCTCCCTATATTAAGAAGGAATGAGGGAATATGCAATGCGTCCAAAAACTTTGAAAAAATTTATCATCAGCTTGCGGTTGTGCCAAGCTTCAAGGGAGTTTTGTTGGAGATTGGTTCAGGATGAAAACAATAGTGTTGACTATTGCCAAAAAAATTGTTGGGAAGACCTTTTGCCTTGAGCATACTCCTTGCTATCTCGACAATGGTGTTGTTATTTCTTCCTGCCACTCCATTTTGCCGAGTGTGGCGAATGGTGCCTGATTCTTTCATTTTTGTGGTAACTTGTGAATTCTTTAGACAAGAATTCTCCACCACGATCTGTTCTAAGTGAAGCTTGAGTAACCAGCTTAGGGTTTGATAGAATGTCATCCCCTATTTATAAATGAAGATTAGGGTTTACAAGATGAGACAATTACAAGTCGAGCCTTGAGGGCATAGAATAATTACAAACCAAATGAAGCTCAGATAATAATATAATGAAGCTCAGATAATAATATAATATGTTAACACTCCCTCTCAAGCTGGTGCGAAGATATCTCTCATGCCCAGCTTGCCTAATATGTCATGAAACGGTTTATTCCCATCATCCCCTATTTATAAATGAAGATTAGGGTTTACAAGATGAGACAATTACAAGTCGAGCCTTGAGGGCATAGAATAATTACAAACCAAATGAAGCTCAGATAATAATATAATGAAGCTCAGATAATAATATAATATGCTAACACTCCCCCTCAAGTTGGTGCGAAGATATCTCTCATGCCCAGCTTGCCTAATATGTCATGAAACGGTTTGTTCCCAACCCCCTTGGTGAGAATGTCAGCAAGTTGTTCACCCGACTGGACAAAAGGAGTACAAATGGTACCACTAGTGAGTTTCTCCTTAATGAAGTGGCGATCAATCTCAACATGTTTTGTCCTGTCATGTTGAACTGGATTGTGAGCGATGTTGATGGCGGCCTTATTATCACAGTATAACCGCATGGAGTTCGTCTGATCAATACCTAGATCACTCAACAATAACTTGATCCATAAAAGTCCACACACACCTTGTGCCATAGCTCTAAACTCAGCTTCTGTACTTGACCTGGCAACCACATTCTGTTTCTTACTCCTCCAAGTAACTAGGTTGCCTCCAACAAAGGTGCAATACCCTGAAGTCGATCTCCTATCAGTTACTGATCCAGCCCAGTCAGCATCTGTATAGGCTTCCACACGAAGATGATCATACTTTGAAAAATAAAGACCCTTACCAGGAGCAGACTTCAAGTACCTCAAGATTCTCATGACAGCCTTAAAGTGAATCTGATGAGGAGCATGCATAGACTGACTAACCACACTGACAGCAATATCAGGACGGGAGTGAGATAGGTAAATGAGCTTACTCACTAATCGCTGATAGCTCCCCCTGTCAACAGCTTCTCCTTCATCATCCCCCAATTTCTGATTGGGTTCCAGTGGAGTGGCACATGCCTTGTAGCCAAGCATCCCAGTTTTCTTCAATAGGTCAAGCACATATTTTCTCTGTGAGATAAATACCCCATCCTTAGAGCAAGCAACTTCAATTTTCAAAAAATACTTCAAGCTTCCCAAGTCTTTGATTTCAAACTCATTAGCTAAATATTTCTTCGACAGAGGTATTTTTCCACTATCATTGCCTGTAAGAACTATGTCATCTACATAAACAATAAGTGCTGTAGTCTTACCACGTGAGGAATGTTTCACAAATAAGGTGTGATCTGCCTGGCTCTGTTTGAAGCTATATTTAAACATAGCCTGAGTGAATCTCTCAAACCAAGCCCTTGGAGACTGTGTGAGACCATATAATGACTTCCGAAGCTTACATACTTTGCCTTCTGTCTGATGATCTTCAAAACCAGGAGGAATGTCCATATATATCTCTTCTTCGAGGTCACCATGGAGAAAGGCATTCTTGACATCAAACTGATAAAGTGGCCAATCTAGATTAGCTGCTAGAGAGAGAAGTACTCTGACTGAATTCATCTTAGCCACGGGTGCGAAGGTCTCTTGATAATCAATGCCATATGTCTGAGTGAACCCTTTTGCCACAAGTCTTGTCTTGTAACGCTCAATAGACCCATCTGCTTTGTGTTTCACAGTATATACTCATTTACATCCCATAGGTCGTTTGCTCGTAGGCTAAGTTACACGGACGCGAGTACGGGTGTCGGGTGCGGGTGCGTATCTAAGGGTCGGACATTTCAAAATTAAAAATTAAGGATACGTGGATATGTATCCAAATTTGAATACGGGTACGGGGATGCGTTAAATAGTTCTTAAAAAAATATATATTTATTATCACGCAAACACGGGACACGACAATTTCTAAAAAATGGGAATATTGATACAACAGGGGACACGTCAAAATTTTTAATTTTTTTATAAATATTTTTATTTTAATATACATTAATTATTTTATTTATTTATTATATTTTTTAAATAATATGTTCCAATTAATTTTTTTATTTTATTTTACATACATATATTTATTTTTTTAATTAATATATATAAGTATATATTATCTTATAAATATATTATATGTTATATAATAATTATTATATAATATATAATAATAATAGTTATTATTATAATAGTTATTATTATTTATTATTCAGTTCCTTTACTATTACTATTATTATATATAAACTATTATTATTATTATTATTATGTATAGATGGATACGAAGGAATCAAGAGAGGAACGACAGAGAGAGGGAGAGAAAAGGGAAGCCATAGATCGCGATCGCGAGGGATAGAGAGAAGGCGAGAGAGAGAGAGAGGCCTTTCGAAGTCGTTTGTGGTGGTCGGCTATTCGATCGACTGATGGAACTTCGATCTTCGACTGGATCGACCGGATGGAGCTTCGACTGGATCATTCGACCAGGTTATCTCTTATCTCTTACTCTTACCTCTTTCATTTTTGTTGCTGTGAGCCGTGTCCGATAGAGAATAGACGAATCCGACACAGATCCCACACCCGCACCCATGTCGTGTCGTGTCGACACGGGTACTTCGCCCCAAAGTGGCGAGTCCATGTAACACAGCTCGTAGGTAACTCAGTCAATTCTCAAGTGCCATTCTTCCTAAGTACTTTCATTTCCTCAATCATGGCTAGTTTCCACTCAGAGGTAGCAAGAGCATCCTGAAAATGGTTAGGAAT